CCGGCAAAAGGCGCCTTCACAGCTCACCGTGAAACGTGAAACGTGATAATATATAATTTGTTCCCGTAAAAATATTCTTAACCACGACTGTCAACCATACGGTAAACACACGCTCTGAGTAGGATTGAACTCAACTATACGGTATAAGCGGTATAGATAAGGTATTATAAGAAAAAAAATGTTGGTTAACCATTAGATAACTACATGGTTCAACCAATCACAGTTCTAGAATATATCACGTTTCACGGGGAGCTGTGAAGGCGCCTAAAGTGTGTAAAGGTGAATATATGTTTGACTGGTCGTAGCTGGTAACGCGTGTGACCTGCGTATTAAATACACACACGCTCATAATAATAATATATACGGAACGCGACACGGTGTGGTGGAAACCACAGGCGGTTTATGGTAACTCGCTCGCATGTTCGGTATCGGTGTTTCATACCGCAGTTGTTCGTCTCCAGCATCCGTCTCAGCCGCCGTCACGTCTCGATTACACTCCGTTTTCGCGCTGTTTTCCATTAGCCGGTATAGGTTTTTTGGTTTTTGGCGTTTAGGCATATTTGGTGCGACAAAATTTCGGGCAGCGGTTCTCGGTCTACAACCGATTTCACGTCGCCGTTTTCTAGTGTGCATTTATATTTAGCGTCGTGTTGTAAGTTACCAATTCTCGATTGTTGTATCAGTCACGAATGGTCAATGGACAAAATTCGTTTTTCGCCGACGGCGCAGCTTCGTCTGAAATCTACATCACTAGCACCGGATGTCCGGATCACGCACTATGCCATCCCACATTTTTGCCCTACATGGTATATTATGACAATGACGCGTATTACTCACGCACACATCGATTCGTTGTTTGAAATAGATTTTCAAAGAATCGCAACGAACTATACCACCTATAGTAATCGGCAGCATAGAGTAGGTTTACCTACCTATACGTAATTCATATAGTAACGTAATAACATAAGTATTGGCAACCAGATAGGAAATTTTTTTTTCCACTGAACGTTCGAAATATTGTTATTGTTATTCTCACGAGAAATATTATTACAATACTAGGGAAATGTTGCGTTATATTATTATTTTTCAACGTGTCCTCAAAATCAGTTCTATAAAATTATAAGTAGTATATTATTTTATATATTTTTTTATTGCCTATCCAAACGAGCAATATTTATAAAAATGGTTCTCATCAGCAATAAGCAATTATTTTTCTTAGATTATTTTTATGGAAATTAAAAAATAAGAATTTATTGCAGTTTAAAATACAAAATAATACCAAGGGAGTCGCTCTGTAGTTCTTTTATTAAATTAATTAAAATTATCTACGATTTTATTAATATCTCATAAAAATGTGTATTGTCTACAGTTATTCTTTTTTTTAATTAATATAAAAAAAATCAAGTTAATTCAGTCGAAAACTGGAGCAGCACAATATTTCAGTAGTTTTTCTTTCTCTAAAATATTTTTTAATATTATAAAAACGAATACCTATGGTGAATTCTATACTTTTTACTTCCCAAAGTATCAACTAGATCCAAGTAGCAGCTAGAAACCACTCTCAAAGTTGAAGTTAGAAATTTTACTGCTCCAAAATGCGATGGTGGATACATTAACCCGTCATATCATTTTAAAATCAATAAATTCTTCAATTCGCTTTGAAACTAAAATAGCTATATTAAAGTTTAAACGAATTAATGTTGTAAAAAGAAACGTCAACAAAAATATCTTTTGAAGAAAAAATACAACTATATTATTTAAGACACACATTTTTTTAAAAATTACAACCGGGTAAGAGAAATCCTTAGAATAGACTATAAGATGATAAGTTTTATGTCACTTTTTTTTACTAGTGAACCACCCCATTCTTAATTAGTAAATGGTACGACAGCTGCACTCGGTTTCCCACTCAAATTTCGCGGTTCAATAAATTGGAAAAATTAAAAACTAAAAGTTTTAGTTGAGTTTTTTTTGTTTCGAAAATCTTTGGTGGGGAAATTTGCTTTTGAGGGTTTTTTATGCTGGGAGAGACAGCGTTAGCTATGGTGGTTGTGCGTGGCTACTATCAGTAAGTTGACACAATGTTCGAGGGTGACAGAAAACTATTAAGATAAAGCACTTTGGCGGCGATTCTCTTCTCGTCCATCCGCCCTCAGATATTTTTTCGGGTCATGTGTCACAGGGCCCTTTAGAGTCGAGTGGTTAATTCAATTACCCACGTGGTGAATTATCGAGTTCTCCAGTAAACCCAATATGTATTTTTCGTTTAAGATAATAATAATAATTGAAATAAAAATAGCAAAAAAAAACTGAAACTGGCAGTTTAGGTACTACATAAACCATTTTGAACGTTAAATTTGTGAAAGACCATTTAGAAAACTGCAGCACTGAATGCCCCAAACCAATACTACTACTACCAATGCCGTTATACTTCTACCGCCACCTGCACCCTTAACCGTCATCACCAACACCACTGCTTCGGCAGCAGTGTTTTTCATCCCTCACACGCCGAGTCGCTTTTGAACGTCCAGCTGCTACTGAAGGGATTTTCTCTCAGCCTTTTTCCACCCGTCTACAGTTGTTGCCGTGCCCCGAAGGAAGGAAAACGCGTGAAAAAATACTCTCCCGGCAAATAAAGCGAGTGCATAATGTATACATTTTTTTCCATCATATATTTCATTATGTCCCGTACGCATAATAAAAGTAGAGGGCCCTTGGTTTTTTTTTTTTTATAATATGTATATACTTTGTAAATAAAAACCCCACCACCGCCTTTGTGTCCATTTACATATGTACTCCCGCTCTTACTCTTTCCCATACTTAAAAACAATATAATATACACACGCGTGCGTTTCGTATATAATCCGAAATCCTCTTATGCGATCAGATTAACGGACACTTGTATATCTCGTGGCCGTAATAACGAAGTCGGTTAAATTATTCAAAGGCCACCCGGGCGATAATAATATAAAACGCAGCGAAACATAGCCTACACACACACACACACGTTCACGCAAGCACGCGCATACTCACAAACTAACTCGTGTTTGTGGAAATCCATTATGTGTGACTATATAATATACGTGCCCAGTGTGTCCGTTCGCAACACGACCCTTCGAAGGACCATAATTTTAATCCTGGCAAAGAGTTATAAGCTTATTATTCGAAATTTTTGTCCTCCCTGACAATCCTCCTATACGGTCCCCGCTATGGTCGCTCCGTCGCACCCAGGATGTTTTAAATAATTAACAAACCGACTTATTGGGAACACAGCGGCTCAGATGAGCTTTCTTTTTTTTATATTTTTTTTTATCCTCACACCGATGATATTCGTTATTTTCCGACCACATTAGGTCAATGCTTTTTACGGTTCCACATAAAATACCTCATCAAACACAACAGTCACTCCGGTAGAGTAGGGATAAGACGTAATATACCAATAAACCGTCGTCATTCGTTTTACTATCCTCAATAATATCAAATTTGCGATAAAAATAAATGATATATCATAATTTTTATTTGAGACGAATATCATCAAACATAGGAGTTTGTTTTATAAGACCATTGCCTAAAAACCCGAACAAAGCTCTACTGGGAAGCAAAACAAAATATATGAACTGGGGAGGAAAGTATTCTTATTATATGGAGAAAAAAAAATGTTACCCACGCCAATAATGCAAAATATTTTTTTTAAAACAATGAACTCCCAATGGCTATGATGCCGAGGGTATTATTTTTATCTTGAATTAAAATAAATATATAAATATAATATATTACTAGCCGATATGAATTATTTTTAAATAATGCAACTTGTGTATAATATTATTTCAGTCGTTCTCTGCTTCGTTGTAAATATTATACTATTTGCAATTGACATTATACAATATACATAATATAGTATGTATATACTGTTGATATTTTGTAGTTAGGAAATTATGTTTCATTATTTTACTAGAATAGTACCATTATTTTAAGGATTATAGTTCTTGAACTTTTAGATTAACTAATTGTTGAATAGTTTTCAAAATTTGAACATCGAAACATGTTTAAAATAATAATATACCTAATTTATAATACATGGAACATTTTATTATTTTAACCACGCCAGTACTAAGAGTATATATACTATATACAGGTAGTGGCCACAACAATAATGATTGGTCCTAAATATTTGAAATTTATCATTTTTAAGTTGATATTGATTTAGTATGGCGTGTTTTTTGGACATTTTCTTTCATTACAATACCTATGCAGTTTTAAAGGTCCACTTTGGACCGGTCGTTTCTGAGAATAAAAATAAAACGAAATTCGCATACCGATCATGACCACGGCGGTCACCAAAACGCGACGCACAGCGTAGGTATAGCATAACATAAGACGCCAAGTGCTTACCTAATACGTAATATAGGAATAATGGTCGGGGATATGTATACAGAGCGTTATACGATATCTTGCACTACGGTGACGACGGTGGTGCACTTTGGATTTAATGGTTACGGGAGCAAAACGGCTTTATTATTCCGGCAAGGGGAGAGGAGACCGCTAAAATTTCACCACCTACCGACCGACCACGAAATCGGATTTCCGGAACCCTGGGCCGTGGGTATAGAGTGTGCGGACAACGATCGTCCGCGGGCGCGTTTGGACGTGAAAAATCCACCCTCTCGGCGTACACTCACCTACCCGTATACCGACACCGCACACTCGCGCAGGAAAAGTTTTTATTGTTTCGCTATTAACCTATACGGAGAACAGTGAGCGAGACTGACGAAAACAGAGTGAGAGAGAGCGAGCAAAGGGGTGGCCAACAGCCGGCGACGACGACGGCGGCGGCGGTGGTCGCGGCCAATAAAGCGCGCGAGGAACGATGACGATCACTCGCCAGATGGACTCGGACCGTTTCTCTCTCACGACGTTATATTATATATTATACAGTACTTCGGCGATGATGGCGGTGAGGTGTACCGATATAATATTATATATTGTTATATACGACTTACTTATGTGGATGCCGAGCGTCAGTTGGCCGATAAAACAAGCGGTGGATACGGCCAGGACGATGGTAAAATCACGAACCCCTCCGCGTCGCATGATGGCTGTGCGGTGGTGATTCGTATATTATATATTATCCTTTATTTCCTCCCCTCGTCGTCCTGCTGTCCCAGCGTGTGTATACTGCAAAAACCAAAAACACAGCGTTCGTACAATAACAATAATAATAATATACGTTATTTTTTATACATATTTTATATATTATTATATTATGGACGACGGGCCATACTGCAGACATCTCGTTGAACGATATAACATAATAATATATTGTAGCCATCAGGCAGGCACCGTCACCGGTTTTCTCTGATATTTCGGTATACAATAATAATAACATAATATTATTATATTGAGTTTCCACGCGAAAAAATGCAGACTCGGACGATGAATAATATTTATATCACACGTAACGTAACTGCCGACTGTGGCACATATCATATAGCTGGCACGTACACAGGGGAGAGTTTTGGGGGTTAAACTTCCTCCCCCCCAAAATTAATATTTGTGTAATTTGTTTATATATATATATATATAGACAGCTCCCCCCCAATTTTTTTTTGTGTACGTGCCAGTATCATAGAATATTATACATGAAACAAAATATGTACTATAACAATATTATATACTAATATAAGTACGGGATAGCCTCGTATTCAGACTTTCCACACGTTCTGTAATGACGTACGTAGTATTCTGTGTATATAATGTTGTATATACATAACTATAATACATAAAAGTGGCTGTTTTAATTGTGTGTAGATAATTACAGTTTCCATTGAAATATTGCTTTTTCGTTCACCTTATTAAAAAAAAATTGATATGAAAATATCGTAATTATTATATCATAATATTGAAATCGTATTTATACGCATAGGCTACGCATATTATTTATACGCAAGGTGGTCCCTTAGTTAAAATTAAAAATGCATTTAATAATTTTTTGTACCTATAAATTATCATGTTGTATAATATAACCAAACTCAACCCATTAATATTTCTCGATTAAATAATTTATTTGATATACAAACGCGTAATATTGTCTAACCACTATCCTGCACTGCACTACAGCAGTTGTATGCATCTATTGTAAGATATACACATATACTGACATAATATTAAGATAGGTTATATTATCGTGGAAAATAAATTAATGTTTAACGAAATAATAGTTTATTCGTCTATTAATCAAACCTTTTGGATATTGTTCAATCACTATTATAGTGGTATCTATCTAATTAAAAATAATTAATACTTAAACATTTTTTTGAGTTGAGTTGGTATTTTTCTTAACGTAAAACTGAGTTACCATTAGGTACATTACAACTTGACATTTACTTTACCGAACTAAATTAAGTTGAAATTGTATATGTATAATATATATTATATATATGTGTCTCACTATTTACTGTGATATAAATGTTTTGACCGGAAATTATTCATCCTATTTTAGAATATTATATTTGCTCCCCTGGCTTTATAAAATATATAGTTATGTGTTTTTACATTCATTGGTTTCCTAATCATCTCAGACATTATAAATACGTAATACGTTCAGTTAATTACACTCGTAGATAGGTTTATTTCTGTGGTATTTATTTGTTCCCAGATAAAATATGTATGCATACATTTAGTATTATTTATTTTAATAAATTCATAAATTTAATGACTAACCGAGAACCAAGTGGTTTATTTCTTTTAAGGCATTCGTAAGCTCGTAATTCGTAAATAGGGAGTCGACAAAATTCAAACATTAATTATGCGATTTTTAAATCGTATTTTTATAAGTTACCTATATATTATATTTCAATATTTGTTTAAATGGCTGAATATAATAAGAATATGCCTTTTTTAAAGTTTTAATTATTGAACAAATTTAAATTTAAAATTAATAAAATACTTCAATACCTGCCAATAAATATGAATAACTAATAATGTGAATATAAAATGACGTATTTTCAAGTGTTTTTTAAAGCTCACTAAAGATAATATAATGGTGTTCGTTTAATATCGATTTCGTGGAAAGAAGTCAGTTTAAAACAAGTATAAAACCACAGAACTGTCTACGAATTGAAGATGCCAGAGTGCCATTCAAGTTTGGTCAGATCGTCAGTAATTTCTCTTGGGACTGTTTGTCGGAGAAAATTGGAAACGACCAAAGATTAACGAGAGATAACAATTGTTCAAACTGTAAAAATGGACGATGATAGTAGGGAATTCGATCACGATCGACTTTCAAAAATTATTAAATATAGGTATAACACATTCACAGATAGCACAACACGTTATGTATTAAATGATAAGATCGTTAGGCTTATGTTTGAAATAATAATATTATTATATTCATTATTTATTTAAAACAAAATACATTTTGATTTATTTTATTATTACTATTATTAGGTATATACTATGTATTTTTGTAGAATTTTCAAAAATATTTTCTTGATTAAACATATTTTCTTACTATTATATTTTATAATATATTCTCAGTGTATTGCATTAATTAATTTTCAACCTCAGACAATTGTTTAGGCGCATTCCATGTATCTAAAAGACTTGTATTTAGTTTTCTATAGATCGTATACACCTATATCGTATATCGTCTTCAATCAAATATAGTCATAATACTTACAACACATCAAAATTATTTTGTTTTGCATAAATTACATTAAAATTTGAGTTTTTCCTTATACATTCACATTATTATACAGCCTAAAGTATGATAAACGATGTGTGTACCTATATATAATCAGTTATTGTGATGGATCAGTTTGAGTGTTCAATTCTTAAGAATAAGTATATTATTCAATATTATTATCTATCTATAATCTTATATTCTTATAAGCTTAGAGGTTTATCTTAAGTCAATATAAAATATTAAAAAGCCTATTCAATCATAAGTCGGAAATCGAAGGGAAATAAATCAACGCGCTGCAGATTAGATATAATGGAAATCTGACGAGTGTAATGGATTTGTTATGAATATAACAATAAATTATTTTCACAGGAAACTGTGATTATCGATATCTATACTTCTACGTGAGTTGTATTTAAAATTTTATATTTTGTAACAGTATTATTATTCGGATTTCAACAATAATGTATGTTATATGCCACCTAACTACTGTGGTGCTTATGTTTTAATAATATATTACCATTTTATTTCGATCTTATTTTATATTGTGATTTAACCATTTAGCAATGAGATCGATTCAATGTGAAGGAAATAAAAGCATGCCGTCATTATGACTTCCTGGCCTCACATTATAGTCAAAAGTAAGGAAATCGGTGGTCCCATTACACCATCCAGACATCCTTTGCGGACACATCCTTTTAAAGGATCAGACGGCATTAAGGGTTGATCTGTAGACAGACGGTGGTAGTAAAGGAAAGGGGGTGATGGCATAAGGGTCAGTGCAGTATGGAAAAAAGAAGCTTTTGTTAAACAACAGTAAACGTATTTTGACACATCTTTTATGCTCAACTATTGCAACCTTTTAAGATAAAAAGAAAAAATACTAAGTACTGAGAAAATATAACATAACCGGGGAACGTCATTAATTTTATTTTAAAATACAATTTTTTTTGCTTTGAAGGGATTTCTGTACAGTAGACAATTCATACGACGCAAAATTATGGATTAAATGTACATTTTTTCACAATTGAATTAGCTTTTACGGGAATGCAACGACGGCAATGGATGAAATAGACAACATTTTTAGCTATAATGCGTACACGTGCACGTAAATACATTATACACAGAGTAGAAAATGGTAGATGGCCCATGCATAAATTATAAGCTAAAGTGGAGTTCGTGTGACTGGAATGATTATGGCGTGAAGCACTTTCTAGTTTAAAATTCATAATTTCCAAAACTATGCAATTTTAACTCACGCCCACATCAAATTTGGTAATCCATATCTTGGTAATAATTTATGGAAACCTATTTAAAGACTAATCCTGTTCCAGGTAAGACATCTATTGCGTTAGATATTTCGGGCCATGTTAATGTCATAAGATTCACCTTCGTTCCACGTAAATTTCTATAAATATAAACGTTGAGAACGAGTTTTCCGAAGTTTTTTTTATAGGTACATTCACTTGGAGGTATTTTATTAACTTGGCCAAATGGCGTGCACGCAGTATTGAAATGACGCGAACCCGCTTTTTCTATGGACGGTGGATGAGAAAAAAACGTATATGTATAAATATAAAATATAAATATGTATATTATAAGAGAAAAAGAAATATTTATTTCCATAAGGACCTTTTTGGGTACCCTAGGTTTTCTTCACCTCTCACCTACACCCCCTCCCATACTCCATAAAACAAAAGTCATCTATCAAATGCATTCCTGCAGCACAGACGTCTTTTTTCCACTAGTGTTTTCAACAAGATCCAACGAAAAATACATTTATAGCTACACTGTTATTCAACCAACAAAAACCTCGGTGCACCTTTAAAAACAAGTTGTCCACTTTATGATTTAAAAATACAGTCATTGAAACCGCAACAAAACATATTGGGACACCCCTCAAATATGACTGTCACTACAATGAACTGAAAGAGTATAATTTATTAAATTGTACTATTCACCGTAATTAAACGACAAAAACACCGTTTTGTCGAGAGCGGAAGTAAATCATAATTGTATAGGGCATGGGGGAGTTTGCACTAAAACGGGGTAAATGTGCAAAAAGTGGTAAGAGAAAGAATAATTTTTAAATGAGTATATTAAAATATGAAAGCAACTCTATAATATTTAAAAATGTATTTATTCAAAAATAATTATGTTTACAATTTTTTTTACCAACAAAAAATATATTTTTTTTTTTTTTTTATGCCCTATGCTCAGTTAACGTTTCTGCATTTTAGTATTTGCTTAACGATTTTCGTTTTAATGAGGCAAAAATATAGTTACCATGTTATACATGTACAATTTACTTACAGTCCTTGAAGATAAAACTCAGCATGTATGCGTGATATTATTTTATTTTTTTATATTTTGCTTTGTGTCTAGGGAATACTTTATTCTATAATGTACT